ACGCGATATTCGTAATATTCATTGCACGACTACATCGTAACGAGCTGAAATAGTAACGCGATATACGTAATATTCATTTCGCGATTACATCGCAACGAACTGAAATAGTAACGCCGTATTTGTAATATTCATTGTATTACATCGTAACGAACTAAAATGATAACGCGATATTCTTATTATTCATTGTACGCTCACATCGTAACGAGCTGAAATACTAACGTGGTATTCGTAATATTCATTGTACGATCACATCGTAACGAACTGAAATAGTAACGCGATATTCGTAATATTCTTTGCACGATTACATCGTAACGAACTGAAATAGTAACGCGATATTCGTATTATTCATTTCACGATTACATAGTAACGAACTGAAATGGTAACTAGGTATTCGTAATATTCATTACACAATCACATTGTAACGAACACATTTTCTAATTGATTTTATTTTTCCCTGAATTTAGAAACATTCTTTTCCCAGTAGAAACGGGTATTGCCTTGCTAATGTGGAATAATATCTGGAAAACCATACGTAATCTCCAGCTGGTAATGTTTTAATATAAAATATGTCAACAACGACATGCGCCACCAGATTGAAATGTACAGAGGTCGGCACCTGTATCACTACAGTTAAGAGAATGAGCACGCATTGACATATTGAAATGCGACATACAAGAGTAAAATTAACACACAGTACAGCTCCATAACACTTTCAGTCGAGAAAGTTCGATGCAATAAAACGATATTAGTTGTAAACGAAGTAAAAAAATATATCGTTTATATGCATGCACAAATCGACTGAAATAATATATAGCGTCGGAATATTTTGTTTATGCTCAACTAAACATTGAAGATGAAATTCCTGTTAATTTTGAGTAACCTGGCGAACAATCATAAATGAAGTTATGGCAAAATTCAAACAGAAGAAACCTAAATGGAAATACAGGCCCAAATAACTCAAAAGTTTGGTATGTATATCCTAAAGCGAGAAGTCAACTGCGTTTGCGGCATACGGCCATAGCGTGTCGTTCTTTACAAATAAACGACTACCCATGAGCCGTGTGTAGCGTAGGTTGTTTTCGTTGATTAGATCTCAATTTTCGCGCGTGCGCAGGTGACGAACCCTCCCCTTTAATCTCAACGGAAAATGAATATACTATTAATTGTGTATTAAATATCATATAGTCCATCTTCATCGTCGAACAAACATATAGCTTCTGGCTGTCTTACAACTGCCGTAGCTATTACATTCATTATATTATGCATATTACAAACAATATGTTGCCAAACAATTGCTACAGTAGCAATGTCGCGTCGTATTCGGTATAGATTACATGCACACGTATACAGCACATGTAAACTGTGTTTGATTAGGCTGTACACAAGTTATTCTATGTTTGACTTCACTCATCGAAAAACAAAGATGTTGGGTGGTTTAAAAACAATCTCATTAAATATTCAAGAATATGCAAGTCATGTAAATAATGTTCAGAATGGTAAGATAGAGATGGCAAAAAGACAATTGAACATCATAACAGTTTTTTCTAAATGTAATCAAACAGTAAAGTTTCTTTTGATATTAACCATCGTTTCTAACACACAAAAACAGTTTCAGATTTGCACTCCTCACTAATTATATGAATATACAGACTGATACATTTTCTCTAATGGGGGAAGTGAATTAGCGAGAAATTCTTTTTGACTGAAATCACTGGTTTTCTTTACTTAATTTTAACTTTGCTTCAAATACTAATTTTCAAATTTGCATCCCACAAGACTGAATGTGTACACAGACGTATTCACTCTAGAGAGATGGGTACGGTGTAAATTATTAAACGAGAAACGCATCAATTGCACTTTAAAATATAAAACTATATATACAACATAATGACAGTTTTAATCTAATCCATGGTATTAACAGTTTTTCTACCACAATTTTTTTCAATAGCTTTAGCTTCTGATACATTCCTTTACAGACTCAGATTTACATCTCACATATTGTGAACAGATGCGAACTTCGTATTACAGAATTACAGATGGCGTTAAAACGAATTTGATATTGCCAAAAACGTGAAATAAATAAAAATCGTTATTTTCGTCGTTAAAAAAATAAAATGACATTTGTTTTGTCCCTTTTTATGCCAGCAGGTCTTATATCCACTGTATAATCTACTCGTATGGATAAATTGTGTAAAATATACGACAAATTGAGCATTTGGTAGAAAAACACAAAAATAAATATTTCCAGTTCTGTTGCCATGCCAACTATTGTATACGCATGTTCGATCCCTGTACATGTATGCTACCACGTTCTAAACTTTCAACAAATTTGAAGTTCAACTTTTGAAGTTATAGATGAAATCATTTTCTCAATTGCTCACAACAGTTGATATAATGTCATGCTTTACAGTTTTTAAGATGGCGGACTACATACACGGATGAAAAGTAGAATATCTAAAAAATCAAAAGTGATATAAAACAAGCAGCCTCTCGACTGAGATAGCTCCGCTGTTAGCAATGCACATTTCAATTAAAGAACAGAAGATATATTAGAAAATGAACAATATGCATAGTATCAATGCAATGGGACTTGCTGTTTTAAACAAGAATTCAAAAATATCATTTTTCACCATAAATGATTGTGGTTTTTAACAAGAAGAAAGTTTTTACCAAAAATGACAAAAATATTCACCAAAATTAGAGAATTGAAGATATCATTATGAAATGAACAAATCTGAGAGAGGTCTACATGTAGTACCTATATATGTAATATCAAAGCAATTGTACTTGCGGTTGTTAACAAGAAGTTGAAAATATCACTTTTTACCAAAAATGACAAAAATATTCACCAAAATTAGAGAATTGAAGATATCATTATGAAATGAACAAATCTGAGAGAGGTCTACATGTAGTACCTATATATGTAATATCAAAGCAATTGTACTTGCGGTTTTTAACAAGAAGTTGAAAATATAACTTTTTACAAAAAATGACAAAAATATTCACCAAAATTAGACAATTGAAGATATCATCATGAAATGAACAAATCTGAGAGAGATCTACCCAAGGTACATATACACCAAGTATCAAAGTATTCAGGCTTGTATTTTTCAAGAAGAGGTCGAAAAAGTAAAACATTGACACGGACGACGACGGACGACAACGGACAATCACTCATATGATAAGCTCCGCTCGACAAAGTCGACAGCGGAGCTAAAAAACTTTAAATTGAATGTTCTTACATTTGCAGAGTTGTTTCATCTAGAAGTATTACGTCGAAAGCCTTGACCTTTTTATAATAACCAAAAACCGCCGCTGGCGACCTCGTTTGCATACTTGTTTGTTTCCTTAAAATTCTACAAATTATCGGCGCGCACTGACGTCAAACACACACTCACTTTTGCGCAGCCTTACACAGAATTTAAATGCGCTGAACAAAAATGTGATGTTTGACATAATAAGGCCATTAACTACAGATGAACAAGTTCCAACTTGTTTTGATAACAAATCGTGTACCACGCAACATTAAATTGACAGTGCCATCAACAAGCTGCATTTGGTTTCGATAAATGTCACGTCATTTTAATCAACAAGTTACAACTTGTTGGTGTCGATCTGTCAACAGACAACAACTGGATCATCGTTTATTAACATTTCTTTGAAGCAAAACAACGTTTGGAGAGATTATTATTCTGTAATTAGAGAACCGAGGACCTGAATCATGTTCTAACAACACCAATACAAACGATAGAGCGTCAACTCATGATTACTTTAACCAAATCGTCCAACTAAGTTCTGAAAAAAATGTATTTCATCTTCAATACGTGAATATGTATAAATAGGCGAGTTTTGGTAAAAAACAAACAAAAAAAAACAAAAACATGTCTAATCGTAAAAATGGTATACAAAGAATCACGGTCTGTTGAATGAATAGACACTAAGAACGTATTCGGAGTTCTTAACTTTAACTGTTTTAATTATGCATGGGAACGAGGTTGGAGTAAATCACCAAATAAGGAAATCTGCTTATTATAACTAATGTTAACTAAAGTGTTATTACCATATATGGGATCAGATTACAGTACTCAAAACGAATTCGAGTATATTAGCTATGGTTTATACTATTTTAACAGCCCGAGTGTGTGCATAGTGCGGCGGACTCAGTCGGAATGATCGCACTTTATATTAATACTCATGTTAGCGGTAGAAGTCCGAAAACATAAAAATTATTTTTTATAAAGAAACCCTCTCAATCTTGTGGCTCAAATATTTTGCCAACACATTCTTTCTCACACATTTGAGAAAAAAAAATGAAAATTTAATTACATCAAACAACTTCATGAATAAAGTGTGTTCATGATGGAGAACCAACGATGTACAATAGAGTAAACCAGCTACAAAAGCACCAATTTGGTGTTGATAGATGAATTAAGACTATAACAGACACTTATCAATCTGCAGACTTTATATCTGCATTACGCACGCAAAGATTACATCACAAAAACAAACAAACAAACAAACAGCAATTTGTTATCAACCGATACACCGAAGCACATACGTTTACTGTTAATCAAATATAAGGTGACGTTTGAATTAATGATATATGTCCAATTAGTCCCAATATTGTCTTAATTTGCTCAAAATATGAAAATAACTACTATTCATCATATCGACAATATATGATATACACATATATCCAATGATATATCCAATGATATATCCAATGATATATCCAATTTCGAATCGTTAATCTGTGTCCATTAAGATTATCAAAACAAGGCAATAAATAACTGTTTGGTCGCGTACTATAAAGGGGCGTACTATAAACTGTACCATTTTATGTCTTCTGTCCCAGAGATCTCCACGTCATGTTATGAGTAATGTAGTGTAGCTCGAGGTATTACGTAGTTTGTGTAGTAGTGGCGCCATCCACGACAATGACCGGAGAACTCCTGGCGGGGTTAACCCAGAAGAAACGACATGAGGCGCCATATTGATTCTCAGCGACGACACGACCCGTTTGTTACGGTTCTACCGCGACGGGACGAATCGTTGGCAACAAGCTTGCGTGAAGACAGTGAAGACCCGTTGCCGTTGATTTTACGACGAGACGAACCGCGTTTACGTGACCGTCTCAGCGACCATGGTCTCTTCCTGTAGCCGTCGTCGGTGTTTGTTAATGCGACGTTGTCGCTGGAACTTTCGTTTTCTGGGTTGACCTTGTTTCCCTGGCAGATTAGAACTTTGAAAAAGGCGGACCTGAATTTTTTATTGAATACATTGTAAATGATTGGATTTGTGGCAGAGTTAACATAGAGAAGCACCCTCGCCACGTTTACTGCCAGGGCAGCGGTGTCTGGGTCCTTCATTGGAAATTCATACGCCGTTAACAGGGCCAGTGTTCGAAAAGGGCCGACACATATCAAATACAGAGTCACAGTCATTCCGAGCATGCGTATTAGCTGCGTCTTGGCTCTCATAGAGTTGGCCCCACGAACGCGGGCTGCTCGTCCGAATTTGTTAGCTCTGCGCAGTCGCAGAAGCATCAGTATGTACAGTATTACTAGGACAGGCACAATACAGAGGAAGATCACCTCGTCTATTTTTCCGTATGTGTTATAATACCCACAGTTACTTGTCACATCGCATGGCGAACAGCGCGATATCACATCGGGGACGTCCGTTTCGTTGTACGACGGCGGCCACACAATATGGGCTTGCACAAACCGCGGGAAATAAGCGTGAGGGATCCCAAACGTGCCAGCTGCTAACCACGTCAGTCCACTGACACAAATGGCTTTCTTTTTTGTCCGAGCCCCACGGAACTTCAACGGCCAGCATATTGCGAAGTATCGCTCCATGGTGAGAATCAGGATTATGAAACACGAGACACTTTGCGCGACTCTCGGAGCATACGACAATATCTTGCAACCGACTGCGCCGCCTATCGTCCAGTTGCCTTCTAAATGCACCGTGGCCAAGATGTACATCATGAACTTTGGCGGGACAACCATGATAAGAAAGATAAGATCGGCGATAGCGAGGTTGACCAGAAAATAGTTTGTCACTGTTCGCATCTCGGAGATTCTCAGAATCACAAATATTGTGAATATGTTGCCCAGGCAACCAATAATGAACACGATAGGCATGGCGATCGTAAGTATGGCGGCGTCTTCGTCGTTGACCAATGACTCTTCGATATCTTCTTCAGTAGCATGCCATATCCATAGGCCATCCGGCGCCAGGTAGTAGCTAGTATCCAGATAGTCCGAGTCGTCATACACGTCAACGGTGAAGTTCTTCATCGTGGTGATTGCTGGATGTAAAAAAATAGAAGAAAAAATACAACTTAAAAAACAGATTTGAGTAAAAGTCGAACAATATTTTACATGATTTCCTCGATTGTTCTACAATCCACAATAACAGAAATAATAGTTTTAATGCACAGCACAATATTCAGTTTTTAAATATGTTTCCATCATCCCAATTAATCCATTGTCAGATATTCATGCAATCATAATTCCTACCGTCTATAGTGCGTTAATAATGACGTCGTTTCAATGTTCTGTCAGAAACTCCGCAAGTTACAAAACGATCGCGTGTACAGAACAGAGAAAATAATAATAATAATAAGTTTTAAAGGATGTTTCCAATTGTTATTGTATATTAAGCTGCTGTGTTTTTCCAGCTGTGTACGCCAACTGATCAATACACAACCCTGTCACTATTTAAAGGTGTTCAATGTTCGATGTTGTCCTCTCAGTTGGGCACTATAGAGCTATAACGCCACCGTAAAATCGGCATGTCAATCAATTCGTTAACTTCAGTCACCCGCCGGGAATGGTTTGTAAAGATAATACCAAGCTGGGTGATTCGACGTGACGGTGGGAAATCACATTTTATTACGTAAATCAGTCGAAAAACGAGTTAGTACCAGAATGCATCGTTCCAGGTAGCGGTTTCCATGCCATGTATTTAAAATAGGTTCATTATAAGGCGACCAACTTTGAAATAAGACAGCCACATGTTGTTTTGTTTTGTTAAAACTACGACGAGACGATCGGCGTTTACGTGCGCATGCGTCAATGGCCACAGCGTGTCATTGTTTACAAACAAGCGTCTACCCATGAGCCTTTGCGTTTTTAGAGTGTGTTGTTATCGTTGCTTGGGACTCAATTCTCGCGCGTGCGCAGGTGACGACCCTCCCGCTTTAATACTACATTCATGATTATATTCACGCTTCGGAACTAAATAATTGGAATCGTCATGGGCCAGAAATGGAAATCAGAATTATCAACGCTGGGAATCAAAACTGGCACTGCTTTTATCCGATAATAATGTAGCACTAAATAAAATATTTAAACAATTGTAATCCACCTGAAAGCGCATTATTCTCCGGCATCGAAAAAAAGGTAATTCGTTCAATTTATACTCCAAGCGTATTAAGGTCTCATACCCCTAATCAACAAATGGCTGCTCAATTTAAATGCCTAGCAAGAACTAATGAATTTGTTTAAATTTGTTTTTCTCAGGTGCTCCCTGTTTGACGGCGTAATCACCTGGGTCAAAGATGAGACCAACATGTGGTCTTTTCTTTACCACTTAGCGACTGTGTACCCGTGGGTTTATTCTGTGTGTATGTGAATGTTCTAATCTTGGTGTTTTTCCAGTGATTTCTCTTGGTGCAATCCGAATACAGTAGGTGTGTCTTGTTTACCTGAGATTTGTAAGAGTTTGAGCTGGCCAACATGTTAGTTTTTTTTCATATGGTTGTTTACTTGCATGTTGATTTCCCATTTTTGAGCCATGCTTTCAACTTTCTTCATCATTTTCATATAGCAATCTCGTCATATGTTAACATTGCCGTCTATGGAAATTCAATTAGTGGTATGAGCCCTTAAACACACACGCACTCTGTATTTATTGTCTTTGACACGGCGCTTCGTATGTGGCGTTTTATCACTGACAGTAACCATAATTAAATTCGGAGCGTTTCATCCTTGTGATAGATTTAGGCCCGGTTACAGTCTCCTGCCGCTGCGCAACCGTGACTCTGCCACGGGCGCTCGACGGTCGCCTGTTGGCGCACAAAACCATTCGCAAGAGATGCCGGGAACCAGCGAGCGATCGCCCGTAGTCAAGCAGCTTTTGCCGTGTGTATAATAACGAGATCTCGTTCAGAGTGAGAAAGTTGTGCGACTTCGATTGTGTACTTCAAATAGTGTTCCATTCTCTCTTTCTCATCGCGTCCACTATTCAAACTATTGCGTACATTCACTGTTCCCACGGTTACATAAAGTTACATAGATCAGGGGGGGGGGGTGAATTCGATGACTCTGGGAGAGAAACATTATTTGATGGTCAAACACAAGAGTCTCGTAGCAACGAAATCTCCGTGGCCAGTTGCGTTAAAGTTTAAATAAAACTTCGATTAAACCTCCACGACAACACCGAGTCGTCGCTACGAGTTCAAATATGGGTCCCATGCGACCTATATCCAACGCTTGTAAATAAACAGTGTTTACACACGGTTATGGCGCCTCGACGTATCACGTGATAACACATGTCAATGCAAAACACCGCTTAGTACGTGTCAGGTCAGATATAGATAATACATATTGTCGATGCTTCTCTCGCAGCTGTGACTAAATCCGCTCTGCTTAAAAATCAGCCGTTACTTTATAATTAATCTACTTTGAAGTTGCTATGGTGACGTATATCTACATTCTTTTCATCTTCAATGCGTTTTAACGATGGCAGATTTGAGTGATAGTGTCAAATGGTATTAGGTCGTGCGTTCGTTACACATAGAGACACATCATGGACGAGGCCAACACTTAAATCTTGTTATATATGTACAGTAGTGACGAATAGAACAAGAAACCTGCTGGTGTCGACGTGCCACTGAGAAGGGGGGGGGCAATGTTTCGGAAAGAAAATCACGGTTATACAATATATAATAATTTACCAATGATCGTTTGGTGGAAGAAACATGGATCCCTCATAATATAATTATTAACTTCGGGGTGTATTAGGATTTAATTAGCTGAAATATGAATAAATTTAATTTGTTAGTGAAATTGAACGTTGCGTTTAGTACTGTGTGCTTTTCAGTCAGAATAAGGTTGTGCAGATTTGGATTCTTCTAAGGAATTTAACTGAGTGCTACGGCCTAGTTTTCAAGTCGTGTTAATGCAGCGACTCACTTGGCTGTTATAGGTCGGGCAGCTCAAAGTTCCGGGACCGCCGACACCGTTACCTACACACATAAACTTAACATGTAATGAGAAAATGACGAGCAATGTTTTGTAGTATCTAATGGGCTAGCCACTATTATTACAGTATAGTTGTAGCATCAATACTTTAACTTGCCTGAGGTGCTGGATGTCCGGGATTGTGCAGATAGCTGGCACTAACGTGGCTTACTTGAACTGAATGGGAATGAATACTATGGCTGTCGACTTTTCTGAAGCAGTACCGTCCACTGACGGGTCTACGGACGTGCTATGAATATGGGCATCAATGTACACAGCTTTCTCAAACGCCGCACAAAACGAAGAAATCCGCGCACTTGCACTAGAGAACAAATTACTCACATAATTGGCAATAAATTCCTAGCACAGTAAATAATCGCGAGTTCATTTTGACCATCCAAGGAGTCGTTAATATGGATATTACAATATTCTTATTGGCATTTCACCGGCGGGCCGAACATATGTATCCTATTAAAACATTTTCTCGCGAGTGTGTTTTTCCCATGGGCCAAACTAAAGACGGCACAGTCATGAACTGCCACAAGAGGGCGCGATAAAGCACGAATACTAAGACTGAAACACTTTAATCACAGGATAGCGGGGGATGTCTTAGTCAGCGAGCGCCAATATCTTTTTTTTATTTTATAGTCACTCGCGAAATTTTGATTTTGATAGATTTACTTTATGTCGAACTATTGCCCAACAAAGTAAAGTGCGTCTGGACATTGGAGGGCAGGGCTTTAAGGAAAGGTGTACTACGCTCAGTTAGAGAACTATAACGTCCAATCCTAATTGTATATGGTAATCGTTTTAAACAGTTAAGAAGAAAGTGGTTTGCATATACGCTCGGTCGTATCATAACCGAAACACCTCCAACGGAGCGCCCAGTGATACGCCGCCAGCAAAGTCATGACCCATTTCATGTTTACACTAGTATCATTTGTACTACGATACAAATACACGTCAATTGGCTTAGTTTGGGGTCAGCCCTTGGCAACATTAGTCAGTCCACAGTTAGGGGGTCCAAACAGACCTTGCGGTAACAGCGTCTGAAACCCACGTTACTAGCGTAAACTGGGAGTTGTCATGTCAGATGTATGACACCTCAATTGAGGGAAAAATAATTGGCGATGTCAAGGTTTTCACCTAACAGACAGCACGTATTTGAAAAAAAGAGAAAATAGTGTAACTGTTCCATGTCAGCTTTATCTATCAGTTTCAGGTGTTTTCGTAAAAACCGTCTTTACATGAACGCTTTGTCGCACTATTAAAGCGGGAGGGTCGTCACCTGCGCACGCGCGGGAATTTAGTACCAAGCGACTATAACAAAGCATGCTAAACACGCAAAGGCTCATGGGTAGACGCATGTTAGTAAACAAAATGACACGCTATGGCCATCTGACGCATGCGCAGGTGACGAATCCCCCGCTTTAAACTATTCCATGGTCGCGGCTATTGGTTGTTGTTACGTGACTCCATATTAGAACACGCGCTGATGAAACCAAACACGCATCTACATAATTTGCGTGGCTCGGCATGCGCGTCAAACTGCGCCATTTGGGTCACGTGGAAAAGACAGGTATGACCCGTGTGATATGACCAATAACCATGCATCTATCTCATAATATACACATGAATAAAGTCACCGTGACAGCCAAAAATATGTCATGCTTTCACTAATGTCCCACATAAATTGTGACACCATATTAAATATTATTGAACATATCAGGCGCTATACATCCAATCCAATCCCCTTTAACACCATCTGTAATTCTGTAATACGACGTTCTTATCTGTTCGCAGCATGTGAGATGTAAATCTGAGTCTGTGAAGGAGCCTGAGTGTATCAAATACTAAAGCTATGAAAAGAAAATTGTGGTAGAAAAACTGTTAATACCATGGATTATATTGAAACTGTCATTTTGGTGCATATATAAATATATATTTTAAATTGCATTTGATGCGTTTCTCATTTAAAGCGGGTGAATCGTCGCCTGCGCGTGCCTTAGATGGCCATAGCATGGTATTGTTTACAAACAAGCGTCTACCCA